ATCAACACCCTGTAAAGTCACACTGACTCGAACTAAACCATGTTTCATGTCTGTGTGTTCGGACTGAGTCACGACTCCCAGTAGAAGGACTCCATGAAGCTTTGTCTCCCTCCTCCCTGAGCTGTGTCACAGTGGCTCCGACTGCCGGCTGAGCTGGTGACTGCTCAGATCAGACTACAGTAATTGAATCCCTGTGGCCTGCACCTGCACACACCTGTCCCGCTCACAGCTTGACAACCGAACAGTTAACTAGTACAGTGATCAGCTGATTGATCGACTCATAATCACTGACAGTCGTATTAGTCGTAGCGCTGCCCTTCATGTGCAGACTCAGACCAATGGTGTCTGTCCGTCCAACACACTCCGACTTCCTGTCCAAAATGGTTCTTACTGAGGACGTAAATCTTTGAAATGGCCTCACGGGCACATAGTTTAATTTTAAAAGCAACATCTGCTCACTGTAGTTTGATCAAACAGGAGGACACGGTGCATTTCTTTGGGACTGTTTTTAGTGGAGGATGAATTCACATTTGGTCTCTAGTGAGTTATCTGTGGCAGCAGGACGGTGTGTGTGGGACCAGTGCAGCAGTGTGGTCACTGCTGGGTTTACTGGTGTCTGGGCACAGTGGAGCTGTGGCTCAGAGGGAGGAGACACGTGTTGGTTTGAGTCTGTGCACAAATAAAACAATAGAATATCAACAGACTGACCACTAAACTCCTGGTGAGGATTGAAAATGAAGAAACCCTCCTCCTGTGTTGCTCTGTGACAGTCTGGTTTTCTTACGTTTGTGCTGGATCTGCAGGTGTCGAGCCTCCATCACCTCGTTCATCAGCTGGTTTCTGGCCTCTCGCTGCAGGCGGCTCTGCTCCTCTCTCTTGGTCCAGGTCTCCTTCAGTTTCTCCTCCATCAGCTGCTCCGTCTCCTCCTCCTCTCTCCTCTGCTTTTGCAGCTCCTCAGACAGATACTGTCGGTACCTCTGCTGCTCCTCACGCAGCTCCACCTGAGCACAGAGACGACACAGGTAGCGGGGCTCAGCCTGTCAGCATTGACCATGTGGCACAATGGCGTCTAATCAGAGAGCTGTTTGCTTCAGGGAGGGGGTTTACACCTGTCAGGTCACTGTCACTGTGTCACTGTTGTTCAGCTCACAGAACGACACAATGTGCAGGTGGTGCCGGTGGAACAAGGTAAAAGCCACAGAGCAGCAGCACAGTGAGATTCAGATCTGCTTCAGATAAAGCAACGTCAGTCTAATGCATCAGGTCTGTGATAAATCCTGCTTCACCAAAATGCTTTCCTTTTTGTCTTTCTATTATTTTGTCCACCCCAGGTGTGTGCCCCAGACTGATGGTACAGTTGAACCGTTATAAACAGACCAAACACTGGGTAGTGTGTAGCGGTCTGAGGCCACCTACTGGCCAGCAGTGGTAACTACATGCCCTGCAGTACTGGTCCAACATGGAGGACGCCGTCTTTCCACTGCTCAACTCCAAGACGTGACACTACAGCATCACTGTCAACGGCACAAACGTGTCGTCAAGGAGAAACGTCTCTGTTACTGGATTTAGAGAGATTAAAGCTAATGTTATTATTATGTTCATCACCAGTTTAATGTTTCATTACATGCTGAGTAGCTGCTGTCTGATGTTGTTGCTCCTTAACTGAAGCTGTATGTTTTGTTGTACTGCTCCACTGGGACACTGGTACCTGCAGGTCACTCTTACATAACAAAGCCTAGTGCCACTGACTACCTGTCAGCTGAGGGTTGACACTGGTACAAACACCAGCCGCTGTGCTCAGAACCTTTCCTGCAGGTAAAGCTGGACTTTGGCTCAGGTGCGTTTACCTTCCTCTGAGCAGCTTCCTGCCTCTGGTCAGTTTCCTGCTGGAGCAGCTGCTGCAGGATGCTCATGTCCAGCTGCAGCTCTTCCTGCTGCTCTCGGGCCAGACGCTGCATCTTCAGCCGGAAACCCCGGTCCAGCTGCCGCCGGGTGGCCTGCTGAGTCTGCAGCTTGTGTAGCTGCTCTCGCTGCTTCTGCAGGCGCTGCACCTCCTGCTGCTGCAGCTGCATGACACCACAGAAATCACAAGACTTATCAAGGTTATGTGTTAGATCAGTGGAATGAGCCTTTAACTGACTCCTGACTCAAGCTGACCCACTGCCTTGAAGCAGCTTTGGGTGCTTGAGTTTTCTGTGTGAATCAGCGAACAGAAACATGGTGTCAGCACTGTGCCTCTATTGGTCCTCCAGTGTGTGACCAGCTTCATTAGTGTGCTGTGTGATGTACAGAGTGATACAGACCGTGAGGCGGGCCTCCTCCTCCCTCAGCTCCTTCTCCTCGACTCTCTGCAGCTCGGTCGCCTCCATCTGGGCCTTCAGGACCCAGTTTCCTCGGCTCCTGCCTCTGCGCTCGGTGGTCCTCCTGCTCCTCTTTGGCTCGGCGGTCGGCCTCCCACAGCTCGTCAAACAGCTGGTCCTCCTGCCGCTGCAGCTGCCGCCGCTCCCGCTGGCTCCTCACCTGAGCCGCTCGCTCCACGCTCACCTGCTGCTCGCAGCGCCTGCTCTCCACGGTCCGCAGCTCCTCACACTGCTCCCTGACGACAGCACGTTAATGGAAAACATCAACAAGCACGTCGTTACACAAGTGCACATGATGCTCTGTGTCAAACTGCTGCTCTGCATTTTATACGGACACTGAACATCTGTGTGTAGAAACATCTGGGGCACACAGAGGTTTACCAGGGGCTCCTCTGTGCAATCACTACGCTGAGCAAACAGCTGACTTCTCTCAGTGGGACGAACCAGATACACTGTCAGTCGGCGTCCTGCTGATGTTCTGTGTCTAGATGTTTAGTTTTCACTGTCCTGTGGCCCTGGAGGGACCGTTCTCTACTCAGGTACTGCAGTTTTGGAGGTACAAGTACACGCACTACAGATTTTAAGGCTGCAAACTAACAACTGTGTTCAGCAGTCACTGGGTCAATGGAGGCCCAGCAGGCTGAGGCCCAGCGGGCTGAGGCCCAGCGGGCCGAGGCCCAGCAGGCTGAGGCCCAGCAGTCAGAACCCACAGAGTGATATACAGCAAAGGCCTGACACTGTGCGCTCAATCAGTGACTGAGCATCAAAGTGCTGGCTGTACTTCAGTACTGTTACCATGTGACACTACACCTGCTTCCAATGGAGTCGAGGCTGCATTAAGGAAAAGCGGCTTCACCTGAACAGCTGTTCCAGCTTGTCTGAGACCAGCTGCTGCCGCTCGCTCTCTCTCCTCCCTCTCAGAGCTTTGGGCTTCTCTCTCATCTTGGCTTTTTTCT